GCATTATATTTATACTTGAATATTATCAGTCCTCAATGTAATATTGCTTGTTATGTTCCCCAAACGAAGTTGGGGAACATATTGTTTTTACTCTGTTTCTTATTATTATTATTTTTCTTCTTCTTCTTCCTGGGTACTTTTTTGTCCGGGAATGATCTCGTAAACTATACATCCGATTAAGGTGAAATGTTTTTAGGGTCAGTAGACATGTTATGTAGATTTGCGGAACGAAGGTCATTTTGCGCGCACGTGCTTGCAAGAGCGTGCACGTGCAACATGTGAAATGACCGATTTAATTGATATAGGCGTAACTTTTTTTAATTTTTGATGAAATGCTTTGAAACTTATAACATAAGGATATATTAGATGCATAGACAATATGACATGGTCAAAATAGCAAGATCTCACGCGCATGCACGCGCGCTTTGCTCTGATTGGCTGAAACAAAAGTCTCAATATCTTTCTTATTTTTTGACGAAATCCTTTGAAATTTTGAAAATAGCCATGCATTAGGATATCCTACAATAAGATATAAAGCAATTATCATGAAAACACGTGCATGCGCGTGCGCTGCAATCTGATTGGCTTAAACTTTAAATAGCTATAACTCCCTTGATTTTCAACCAAACAGGATGGGATTTGGAACATAGATAGATATACTGGACTACTACAAGAATATGGTCACCTTGCACATGCATACACGTGCATGTACGTGCGCTGCAATCTGATTGGCTGAAACTAAAAACAGCTATAACTCCCTTGGTTTTCAACCAAACGGGGTGGGATTTAGAACATAGATAGATGTAACGGACATCTACAAGAAGATTTGGTCACCATGCTCATGTATGCACGTGCGTGCACGTGACATGAGCAAAATAAAAAAACACTTGAATGAGCGTATTTTTTAATACTTTTGGATTAAATGCTTTAATATTTAGTATATAAAAATATATAGATTGTGTAGACAAGATGATATGGTCATTACGCACATGCATTCACATGGGCACGCAAAATTTGAATGAACTTTGTACACTTCTGGGTAAACGTTATTAAAGTCTTAAATGCATCGAGTTTGTCTTATTTAATGAAGCTTACATGGAATATGGCATCAGAAGGGAGTTGGGGAGCGTTTGGGGAACATCTGTAACGGTCCCCGTTACAATTAGCACTAGTTTATATTGATGCAGTATGCTCTTACAGATTAAGTTTTTTATTCCTTCATTCTATTTTAAGTGATGTTGGATTCTGAGCATAAATGTAGGTAGTACTTTTTCCTAATTTCATTGACAGGAAGGAATCAATTGTTATAAATATATTTCATTTGACAATATCAAGTTATTTCTTTAATCCAAATCTTTTTGTTTTAGTTTAATTTATACAATGAGTAATCTCCCCTTAATATACAGATTTCTCTCCCCTTATTGATTACTATCCTATACTTTTTTGTGCAACATGTACAACATTTACACTGAATGTCAAGAGACTTTTCCCTTATTTCCCGATCATAAGGAGCACATGTGACTGGTCGGCAGGGGATGCTCACTCCTCCATGGCATCTGACCCCACCTCTGATGTTTTACAAATTTTAATGTTTGCTCTCTTCCTGATTTGTATTGTTTGATGGACTTTTAAGCTGGAAAACCATTTGTTATCTCCTTATATTTCATGTATAAAAACCTCTATTAAAATGTATTCTTTTCATTCACAAAGTACTATAAAACTTCATTAATACAAATAAAGATGAATCACAGACTAATTAATGTACAGGAAAATAATAAATACCATATTACAGATGATATATCTTAAAGATCCTCTCTAAATTACATAATTTGACAGGTGTAACCCCCCACCCCACCCCTCCAATTGTTTCTATATATGCATACAGGTCTGAAAAACATGAAATTAAATAATGTTGTTTTCCTGTGAATAATACTTCATTTTGTATGTTCAAACATTTGATTGGTCTTTTAAAATGTTTGTAAAAATATATAACACTAATAAATTGATGAATGTAATTTAAGTAATAGATGTGTAGTTGACAGCTCAAGATATATAAAAAAAGCATTGACCTCTTAAGTTAAAGATTTGTAGATCATAGTAATGTTATATATGATAAGTAAGAGTTATTTTCTAATACGTCTTTTTTAGTACTTACATATCATGTTTAATTATGTGTAAGTAATATAAGTTTTTTCAAGGTCTACTCATTGTAGAGAAAAAAGGAAGTAAATGTTGTATGAATCACCATTAGTTTTGTCTATCCAAAAATATTTTGTGGGGCTGTTTAAGGGGAAAAAAATGAAATCGTTATATAAAAAAAAATAAATCATTTAATCATTTTTTTTAATTAATTATAAATATTATAAACTTGGTTGAAAATTGACACAATTATTAAAAGATTATGGAAATCTTTATTTTATACTGAAATTATTTATATATAAATATATACAAAATGATGTATCTAGCTTTGTTGAATGCTATCAAATGATCGTAACTGGTTATGCATTGTTGCAAAGTAAAACTTTGTTCATTATCTTCTCCACATTATGACCTTGACTTTGAATGAATCTTCATCTTCAGTTGATATATACTTTTATTTGAAGTCAATAAATCTATGGATAGACCTCATAAAAAGGCTATATATATCTGTATATCAATAAATCATACCTAGTCCTATTATAAAAGACTCTTTCGGTGAAACTCGTAGATGTAGTATTTACAAGTACTTTGTTGCTTATGCAGTACGTAATATATTTGCTTACACTCAAGCAGTACATGATTTGGCATTTGGTATTATTAATGGAGAAGTGATAGTAAAGATTCTTTTAAGATGTATTGTATTCCATTGTATTCATTTTAACCGTATTAATTGCCCATAGATCAGATTTATTCATGTGCATGATATGCCAGAAGTTAAGGATCAACAATGTAAATTTTTCAAAATTAATATTCTGTGAAGGTGCAGTATGTGACTAAAAACTTTCTTAGAGCAGGTTTTTGTAACACCCTGTTATTAGAGCAGATGAAAATGCAGATCTTTGAGACACCCTGTAGAGGATTCATATTTTGGCTCACACAGGAAGATGCCAATTTTTGAGACACCCTGTAGTGGTGTTGTACTTTGACTCACCCTGTAACATGTGGATGTAATGACCTGATTAGTTAGACATCGTCAGCTTCCTGTGTGTGTTCACCCCCGAAAAACTGACAAACTTTATCTATGGCTACCTGCATCTCTGCATCCTAAAATTTGGAATTTTTTTGGTGTGGAAAAAACAACTAATTCTCATGTGAGTTCTAATTTTTTGGAGAGGATTCTAATCAAATTCTTGTAATTCTTGAACTTGTTGACAGCTTAAGGTGTTAACAGTTGGTCAATATTTCTCATCAATTAAGGGAGGGTGTGTATTACATGCAAGGAGGATATTAGTAATAAGTGTTGATGTTCATGCTTGTTCTATGTAGATGTTAAGTGTTTCACAACTCTCCAGAGACTTCCTAGCTTTCTAGTGGTAAAACCCAAGAGGTTCTGAGTGAGTAGTATTTAGCAACATGCCAAATTCTTCTTTGAAAGGAATGTGAAAAAAGGCATGAAAAGCCAAGACCTGATATAAACCAGCTAATACTAGTAATGCTTAATTTCTTCATGTTTAGTTTTATAAAATCAGTTGCTGTGTGTAAAAGCTTTTAACAGTAATCTTCAGTGCTTTGAAGTTTTGTTGTAAAAATACAACATTTTTAACATAGAAATTCGGCTAAGTATATATAGACATGCATTTGAAAATTTTTAACTTGTATTTGTATTATTATATGATACATACATTTCAGCACTGAATTAGCCATTTACTGATTGGTCTTAATGGAGGTGATCACTTAAAAATGTTTATAGAATATGCCTCAGGGTCCCTGAGTAATGACTTGAAACATCTAATAAAGAATGTAGACATTATTCATAGATTGGTAAATAACTCTTTAGTTAACCTCTGATTTGAAGCAGTGATGACTATAGTCAGGGGTATTCAGTTGATGTGTTTGTTTACATGTAAGCAATGATTAATGGATATTAATGCATTTGCAGACAAAGTGAGTATTAGTCAAATCTAAACCAAGATTTTAAATGCTAAGAATCATTATTGACTTCATTCATACCATACTTTCAGTGAAAGGTTATCAATGAGAAAAATTGCTCATGAATTTGATTTTTTTTTTGGGGGGAGGGGGTGCTAAAATCCAGCATCGAGTTTGATGGCTTAAAAGACTAATAGGAGACAGCTAGAGCATGCAGTTGAACTAGTATGAATTTTTCTATGGACAGGAGATGGGGGTGGAGTGGGGAGGTGGTCTAATAGCTTTCCACTCATTGCTCCTTATCTATGTGAACAGTCTCTACATCCTGTCAAATACTGCCATCTGTTTAAACTATTTGGTTATGCATAAATTGTGGATTGATTGTCTATATTGTTTAATGTCCCTCTCGTGAGAATTTTTAACTCATATGGAGACGCCACCATGCACTTGCCAGTGGAGAGCTGAAAATTTTGTCTCATACTTGGCACTCAGAGCCATTGAGCAGGGAGGGATCTTTTTCCTGCCAATACCTTCTGCCTCAGATTTTTGCTCTCTCACCCTAACCTTCTCTCTTTTATTTCCTCTTGTATCTTTCTTTGAATTCTTGCTGCCAAATGTAGAGTTCCCCACTCCCTTGGATGACCCCCTGTGTATAAACATGTACAGCAAAACTCGCTTAGTACGTATATACAGATATTGCGAATTTACGGATATAGCGAAGTTATCTTGGATCCCCAACTGTATAAATTCTGCAAATTTGCTGTACGGATATAAGATATTACGGATATAGCAAAGTATTTCTACAGGTCCCAGTGACTTTGAATAACCGAGTTATACTGTAGTCACTTGCCTTTTTCCCCTAAAAGGCAGAGGAGTGAAAGAAGCAGCCTAAACAGTAACACAGTTTTCTTTTCAAATTGTAAAAAAATATTACCCTTTTAATATTGTACTTCTCATTCTTTTCAGGTTTTGGATGAAAACAACAAAAACACAAGTAATGACATGACGGATCAAGACAACAAAATCAAGGTCTGTAAAAAAAAATCATTGAACAAATACGTAGTACTTTGGATCACTATAATTTTGTGACACCTTATTTTGGCGAGATAGTCATTGACTCTTGTTTAGTGAGACAAAATTTTTCACAAATTGTGGTTATTGCTCTATATTATCTTAAGGAATGCTTTTATATGAGAGATTAAATTTTCGCAAGCACACTGTCTCGTGTAATTACGCGAAAATAAAGTTCTCGCAAATAAAAAGTGATTTACAATATTCAAGAATTGAGTATTCTTAATGTATCTTCAATTATGATATTCCAAATTGTAAATTATAATTCTCCTTTTGTTACAACCAAGAAGTGAAAAAGAGCATGGCTTGATCAAAAAGTGGCATGGCTCAATCATTGTACTTGTACATGTACATGTAACAGATTTAACACTGGGCATCATATTTCATTTATTTTTGCAAGATTTCACAATGTCAATTTTTTTTTTTCAGATACATAATAATTCCACAATATTTCACATAGTGTCATGTTGTTTCATATCAAATTATCTTAAACTTTACTTTCTTTTGATATCCAATCCTGGCATTCTGTATTTCTAAAAAAAAAAAGAGATATTGAGAACTCATGGACAGTTCCTAAGTCCTGACAGAATATCGTTTACTAGATTTTTTTTGCTCCATTGTTGTAATTCCTAGCAATTTCACCAACATCTTAAATTCTCCCAGAAAACAGTTGCATTTAAAGAGAGATAACTCTGTTTCTTTAAATTTGCCTATTGACAATATTGGAAAAAATAAAACAGGCCAGGGTGAAAATTCCCCTTTGTACAGTACAGTAAAATATTAACATATCCATAATCATGATTATGAAGTACCAGGGACAGACAATTTTGCTTTGTTATAAGTGTAATTCAATACATCCTGACAAAATAAAATCACAGGGAAAGAAAATGACTTTGCTGTAAGCATATTAAATACATTATTAATGAGCGCTTTCACTAAATAAATATGTTCTACTGCTTATGTTACTATTTTGGGTTGACAGGACAGACTGGGTGGTCTGGACCTAGCCGATGAATGGCAGGAGGATGACATCCCGGGTATGCCCCCCGCAGAAAAGGAATCCGACTCCAGCGACTCGGAAGGCTCGCGATCACGACATTCCAGTAACTCTAGTAACTCCAGTACAGAGCAATCCCCAGGTAGAACATTAAAATCTTAAGTCTGCAGGTCTTAATATTTATGTTCCCCAAACGAAGTTGGGGAACATATTGTTTTTACTCTGTTTCTTATTATTATTATGTTCCCCAAACGGAGTTTGGGAACATATTGTTTTTACTCTGTTTCTTATTATTATTATTATGTTCCCCAAACGAAGTTGGGGAACATATTGTTTTTACTCTGTTTCTTATTATTATTATTATTATTTTTCTTCTTCCTGGGAAAATTTTGTCCACGAGTGATCTAGTAAACTACACATCCGACTTAGGTGAAACCTTTTAAGGGTTAGTAGGCATGTTATGTAGAGTTGCCAAACAAAGGTCATTTTGCACGCACGTGCTTGCAAGAGCGCGCACGTGCAACACGTGAAATAACCAATATAATGGATATTGCCGTAACTTTTCTATCTTTTGATGAAATTTTTTGAAACTCATATTGTAAGGATACATTAGTAGTATAGACAAGATAGCATGGTCAAAATAGCAAGATCTCACGCGCATGCACGTGCGCTTCGCTCTGATTGGCTGAAACTAAAGTCTCAATATCTTTCTTGTTTCTTGTCATAATCCTTTGAAATTTTGAACATAGTCCTACATTATGAAGATCAACTGCTCGATATATAAGAATTTTCATGAAAGCATGCGCATGTGCGCATGCTGCAATCTGATTTGCTGAAGCTTTAAATGGCTATATCTCCTTTGTTTTTTGACGAAATTCTTTGAAATTTAAAATATAGTCATGCATTAGGATATCCTACAATATGGTATACAAAAAATTCATAAAATCACGCGCATCACGTGTGCTGCAATCTGATTGGCTGAAACTTGAAATGGCTATAACTCCCTTGTTTTTGAACCAAACTGGATGGGATTTAAAACATAGATAGATGTAAGAAACTCCTACAAGAAGGTATGGTCATAATGCACGTACACGCACGTGCGTGCATTTGGAACGAGTATAATCAAAAATACACTTGAATGAGTGATTTTTATTACTTTTTGACTGAATGCTTTAATATATAGTATTTTAAAATATATAGATAGTGTAGACATATCTACATATGGTCATAACGGACATGCATTCACATGCGCTTGGGTGCAATGCTAAAATTTGAATATAATCGGTATCCTTCTGGGAAAACGTTGTTAAATTCAAAAATGCACATAGTTTCTCTTATTTAATGAAGTTTACAGGTAATATGGCACCAAAAGGGAGTTGGGGAGCGTTTGGGGAACATCTGTAACGGTTCCCATTACAATTAGCACTAGTTATTATTATTTTTTTTCTTATTTCTTCTCCGGTACTTTTTTTGTCCGCGAGTGTTCTCAGAAACTGTTCACCCAACTGAGCTAAAACCTTTTTAGGGTTAATAGGTGTGTAGTGTAGGTGTGCGGAACGAAGGTCATTTTGCGCGCACACGCATGCACGTGCGTGCGCGTGAAATGAGTGAATTGACTGATATACTTAATATAGCTATTACTTTTACATTTTTTTATGAAATGATTTGAAACTCATCATATAAAGATATATTAATACTGTAGATAATGTGACACTGTCAAATTAGCACGAACTCACGCGCATGCACGTGCGCTTCGCTCTGATTGGCTGAAACAAAAAGCTCAATATCTTTTCTGTTTTTTGACAAAATGCTATGAAATTTAAAACATAGGCATACTTTAGGATGCACTACAATATGATATATAACAATTGTCATGTACACACGCGCATGCACGTGCACTGCAATCTGATTGGCTTAAACTTTAAATGGCTATAACTCCTTTGTTTTTCAACCAAACAGTATGGGATTTAGAACATAGACAGACATAATGGACTCCTACAAGGTGGTGTAATTGTCATGCACATGCATGCACGTGCGTGCACGTGTGCTTTGCTGTGATTGGCTGAAACAAAAATCGCAATATCTTTTTTAATTTTTGACGAAATGCTTTGAAATTTTAAACATAGTCATGTATTAGGATTACCTACAATATGATATATAACAGTTGTCGTAAAAACATGCGCATGCACGTGCGCTGCAATCTGATTGGCTTAAACTTTAAATGGCTATAACTCCCTTGTTTTTCAACCAAACAGGATGGGATTTAGAACATAGACAGACATAATAGACTCCAACAAAATGGTATGGTTGTCATGCACGTGCATGCACGTGTTCTTCACTCTGATTGGCTGAAACAAAAATCTCAATATCTTTTCCGTTTTTAGACGAAATGCTTTGAAATTTAAAACATAAGCATACAATAGGATGTCCTACAATATGATATATAACAATTGTCATTAAATCACACGCATGCACGTGCGCTGAAATCTGATTGGCTTAAACTTTAAATGGTTATAACTTCCTTGGTTTTCAAAGAAATAGGATGGTATTTAGAATATTGATAGACATAATGGTCCCCTACAAGAAGGTATGGTCATCATGCACATGCTTGACCGTGTGTGCACGTGAAATGAGTAAAATTAAAATATGCTTGAATAAGTGTATTTTTTAATACTGCTGGATTAAATGCTTTGATATTAAGTCTCTTTGAATATATATACATAGTGTAGAAAAGATGATATGATCATTACCCACATGCATTCACATGAACTCGCATGTCATGCTTAAATTTAAATATATTTTGTAGTCTTCTGGGAAAACTTTGTTTAAGTCTAAATTGCACAAAGTATGTCTTATCTAATAGAGCTGAAAGAAATGTGGCACCAAAAGGGAGTTGGGGAGCGTTTGGGGAACATCTGTAACGGTCCCCGTTACAATTAGCCCTAGTTATTATTATTATTCTTTTTTCTTCTTATTTCTTCTCCGGTACTTTTTTGTCCGGAAGTGTTCTCAGAAACTGTTCACCAAACTAAGTTAAAACCTTTTTATGGTTAGTAGGCATGTTGTGTAGATGTGCCGAACGAAGGTCATTTTGCGCGCATTCGCATGCACGTGCGGGCGCGTGCAATGAGTAAACTGACTGATATATTTAATATGGTTGTAACTTTTATATTTTTTGATAAAATGTTTTGAAACTCATTTTATAAAGATATATAAGTTGTGTAGATAAGATGACATGGTCAAATTTGCATGAACTCACGCGCATGCACGTGCGCTTTGCTCTGATTGGCTGAAACAAAAATCTTAATATCTTTTTTGTTTTATGATGAAATGCTTTGACATTTATATCATAGACATGCATTTGGATGTACTACAATATGATATACAAAATTTTTCATGAAATCACGCGCATGCACGTGCGCTGCAATCTGATTGGCTGAAACTTTAAATGACTATAACTCCCTTGGTTTTCAACCAAACAGCATGGGATTTAGAACATAGATAGACATAAAGGACTCCTGCAAGATGGTTTGGTCACCATTTACATGCATGCACGTGCGTGCACGTGCGCTTTGCTCTGATTGGCTGAAACAAAAATCTCAATATCTTTTCTGTTTTTTAACAAAACGCTTTGAAATTTAAAACATATGCATACTTTAAGATGTCCAACAATAAGATGTATGATAATTGTCATGAAAACACGCGCATGCACGTGCGCTGCAATCTGATTGGCTTAAACTTTAAATGGCTATAACTCCCTTGTTTTTCATCCAAACAAGATGGGATTAAGAACATAGACAGACATAATGGACTCCTACAAGAAGGTATGGTCGTCATGCACGTGCGTGCACGTGCATATGAGTAAAATAGTGTAGACAAGATGATATCGTCATTACGCTCATGCAATCACATGCGCACGCCTGCATTGCTTAAATTTGAAATACTTGGTATACTTTTGGGAAAACGTTGTTTACATTTTAAATGCATAGATTTTGCCTTCTTTAATGAAACTTGCAGGGAATATGGCTTGAGAAGGGAGTTGGGGAGCGTTTGGGGAACATCTGTAACGGTTCCCGTTACAATTAGCACTAGTTATATTAGTTGTTGTACAAAATGGAGGGCCAGGGATTGGGAAGGCCATTACATTTTTGGAAAAAGAGCAATGTTTTTAAATAAGTAAAAGCCATCTGAAGCCACATGTACTTCCAAATGTATTGTGAAGTAATTTGTTGACTTCCTTACAGATATTACACTACTTTAAATTGCAGTGCAGCCCTTGTTATCAGAATTAAAAAAAAACAAACACTGTCACAATAGATTTTACACTTTTATTTATTACTTGGCTGACATTATGATTTTTTCTACAGTGCGGCCTTCCCTGCTGAGCGCCCACCCCAAGAAGAAGATCACGGCTAACTTTAACATCCTGAGTGACGATCTAGACGATGACGGGGCGGATCCAGCCGACGGTCTGGAGTGGGAGAGTAAGTTTGTATATCTGTCTGTCTGTCTGTCAGAATTGTGTACAGTAACATATACTGAGTCTGATGGTTTTGAGTGAGAAAGTAAGTGTGTTTTATCAGTCTCATTGCTGTACACCAGGAGAACATTACCTGCGTACTTTAAGGGGATGAAGGACCTTTAGCTGAAAAAATACCTGTCATTTAATTTTTTTCATATTTTTTATATATCTTATTTAGTATGTCCCACATACTATAAAGCAGACATATCAATAGGTTTCTTGACTTATTTCAGAGATATTGAATGATAAATACCACACCCCACAGTGTCTGAGCGGAGTTTTGATTCTCCGTGTTTCTGGGTCCATTACTCGGTCGATAATTGAATTTTTTCAGCATAGATAAAAAATATGCCAGCGGAAATGTGTCTTTTAAAATATTTTAGAGTATGACAAGGGTTAAAAATTCGAAACAGCAAGATTCTTTTGTAACACCGCACGTGGAGACGGAAATTTACGAACTTTTTAAGACAACTTAAACAATAAAAAAATTAATTTGCAAAAAATCCTATCATTCAATATTTGAAAATTTACGTCGAAGTTTAAGTTCGTCATTGTATTGATTAACTGTAAAAATATCGATTGGTGAAGCTGAACTCAATATTGCACGGGGCAAAGTTAAACGAGACACGATCATGAGAAAAACGTGTCTTGTTTACATTTCTTGAGTACGGGAAAACTCAACTATGACGTCACACATTTCTTAAATAAGAGAAATTAGCCACACCCACCGAACATTTCCGTCAACAACCATGTAAAAATAGTTTTTGCAGTCTGAAATTCACAAAATACCCAACAATTTACAGATCATGGCCCATTTTTATGATTTTATACTACCCGTTTTAACCATGTATGATCTTACTGTACTAAGAGATCCACTATGACGTCAACGGCGCGCTGGACGCGCAGTGTAGGGAAACGGAAGGGTGGATTAATCATTTCCGTAATTTGATAATATTTTGCAAGAAATTTTAAATGTTTTCAGATATGTTTGTACTAGATGGTGAACGCAAACTAACAGTAAAAAAATTATACTAGTACTGTGGTTTCAATCTCGTTTTGTACATATTTTATCAGAGATTATGACGTAATTCAACTGAGTCACATGACCATATATCCTTCATCCCCTTAAGTCATGGAGCACAGGGGTAATAAAGGCTTGGCTTAGATATAGTTGCATGTTCAAAGATTACTGGTTCAATTAAACCCTGTGGCACCTGATGTTGTTTGCTGTATCCGTAGACAAAGCATTTTATCTGCACTATCTCAGTCCACAAGTGTGCAATGGATTAACCTGCATTGGAATACTTTGAACAATTACTGTAAAACAACTTTTAATCGCGTGCGAGAAATTTTCGCGAAGTTCGCGAGAGCCTCGTCATCGCGAATATTTCTCGCCGCGAACCGGTCATTATAGTCTATCTGTCTACTAACAAGAGAACCTACATAGGCGTGATCGCCAAAATTAATCGTCGTGAACTAGTTTACCCATGGCAAATCGCGAAATAAAGTAGTCGCGAATAAAAGTTGGTTTACAGTATAAGATTAGCAGTATCCATCCTTCAATCTATCCATCATTTAAATGATGTGTGTATATGTCCAGAATAATTTTTCCTTCTTTAAATGGTTTATGGTTCTATCTTTTCAAATATCTATTCATAATTTGACCTTTTTGTCTAAATTTCTTTAAAAAATTAAGTCTTCCATTCAATTGTTTGAACTTAGACCTTTGCTCTTCATTTAAATATATTGACTGAGCATGACCCAACATTTAAAATGCGTGACTATTTGCCCATATCTTTTATTGTTAAATAAAGCCTGTCATTAGTTGATGGCTACTGCACCCTGTGTATTCCTAAAAAAGGTAAACACAAGTAGTTTTATAAACTTTAGAAGGAGGAAATAATAATATGTTATTTAGCTTCCTTGTTCCCTATTAATAAGTAGTTTATATTTGACATGGCCGGTAAGCTTTTATAAAAGTCTGGTGTTTTAAAAATTTAATTTTAGAAGTTGGGGGAAAAAAAATTTGTTAGTGTTCAATGTAGATGATATTTATGGAAAAGATAACACAAGTAAGTTGTTGAATGTAGTTTTATTTTTTTTTGTCTTTCCAGATGATACACCTATCAAACGGTCGGATCCACTCCCTGAATTCTCTGCTCGGGATGAATACCGCGAGTCTAAACTCTGGAAGGGGGTGGAGATCGGAGGAAAACAGATGAAGATTGACCTGAAGGTCATTGAGCCATATAAAAGGGTCCTCTCTCATGGAGGTATGGTCCAAGTGCAAAGTAAATACTGTATTTCAATAATAGGTCATAGGTCACAAGGACTTTCACATTGTCAAAGATTATCCCTTTTGCCAGCATATCTTGCATCCTTAGTAAGTTACCTGTATATATATTCATTAAACCTTACACAGTTTAACAATTTTGTACCATAATTCCTTTACTGGCATAGTATGGGGCAATGTGGAAAACAATGAATATGTACATATATATATTTCATTTGTCATACATGTATATACATGTACTGTCCTATAAAGGTGCTACATGTACTGTTATTGTTGGATGTATCTAGCAACAGGTGACCTCAGATCATCCCAACAAAGGGAAATAACTCTTATTAATAAACATGTTAGATGTCAATACCATTCTCCTTTTGTGACTTGATAAGTCATGATGCAATCAACTGCTGTTTTGGTCTGCTTTCTATCAGAAATTGTCTTGGAAACATATTTCAGTATACTGGGTATTTCAGCCATAAATCACTGTTTGAATAATCATTTTAGTACATGTATTGTTGTATTTATATTTTTTATTGCTAATGCTAATCCATACAAATGTGTATTAACTTTTTAAGGTTACTATGGAGAGGGACTGAATGCCATTATTATTTTCTCGGGATGTTACTTACCAGACCACAGTAGGAAAGATTATCAGTATGTGATGGATAATTTATTTATGTAAGTATGCATGAACAGTAAAACTTGTCTAATCCATATGATAAAGTAACTTTTATTAAATTCAGTTGTAAAGAATGTATCATCAAAGAGCTATCTTTCTATACGCATGGAAGGTTTTAAAAATTCTTTTAAAGGACGTATTAGTATTTTGTTTTATAGTTATTGCACATTATTTGATTATACAGTTAAAAAGGTTATTGATCATTTTTTAGAGTGAACGTTTTCTTGTGAAATTCATTGATCTTTATAAAAAAAAAAAATTCCAGGTATGTGATAAGTACCTTGGAGACCCTGGTTGCCGAGGACTACATGATTGTTTATTTCCATGGAGCCACACCACGGCGACAGATGCCAAGCTTTGGTTGGCTAAAAAAATGTTACCAGATGATTGACAGAAGGTCAGGGGTCTTTCAATATTCAAGCTAGAAATTGAAAATGTTTTAGAAAGACTTTGTAATGATCATTATATTTTTCCTCAGTTTAAAAGTATTTCAACCACAAGTTAAAAAAAAAATTTAAATAAAGAAGTTTTCTCTGTATATAACTGAACTGTAAATTACAAACTTTCTCATAAAATTCACAAAAAGAAAAGTTGCATGCCTTAGGCATTACTATGTTTGTTAAAATGATATAAAATGTGTAATTTTCCTTTAAGATTGAGGAAGAATCTGAAGTCCTTAATGCTGATTCATCCCACTCTGTGGTTAAGAACTATAGTCATGATGACCAGACCATTTATCAGGTATACTCTCATTGGCAAATCTATTGAAGCCCAATAGGGCCATGTAGTTCACTATGGCACTATCAAGCAAAACCTCTGTGATCTTTGACACGATAGCAGGGGTGCAGCAATCATGATGCATTGCAAGGCTAGGGCTATAGCAAATGGCACAACAATGTGATGATGATGATGGTGGGATAGTATGATGGAGAGAAAGTGAACATCACCTTATCATCAGGGCACAACTGCATCATTGTTATTACTTAACGAGACCAAGTCTAATTATTTCTGCCCTAGGGATTTTAATTATTTTTTGAAAGATAATTTTTACTTTTATATTTATTGATTTAAGATTAAAAAATCAAATGATTACTGTTGCACAAATGACTGCATGAAATTGATAAGCTGTGCAAAGTCATGCACACTCGAATTTGACTCGGCCGCGTTAAAATCACTTTTCATTTGTGAGAATTTTATTTTTGTATAATTACCTGAGAAAATGTGCTCACAAAGATTTCATCCTTGTAGCAGTTAATAACCACAGTTTGTGAAAATTTTGTTTTTATAATAAAAAGTTAATGAATATCATGCAAAAATAAGGTGTCACAAAAATTGAGTGATTCATGTTCATCACACTATTGACCCACACCTTGCTGGAGAGTGATGAATATTGAACTACATGGCCCTGTCCAGATTGAAATTGTCAAGAAAATATTGCACATTTATGACCATATATAATCAAAATTATTAGGATAACATTGTACAGTAAAAATTACAATATCTGGTTTGTTTTCTTCCAGTGCCAAATTTTCCTCCAAGCTGCGGTTTGTGCGGTCGCTGTCAGAACTAGGTCAGATCATTCCTATGGAGTATATTTCTGTCCCAGAACAAGTTCAACAGTAAGTATGGGATCCAAAGGAGGGGATCAAACATAAATTAATGAATGGGGAGTGGATCAAATGTAGGTGCTAAACTTGAGAATGTATAGAAAATCAGAAAATCAGTGTTTGAAAAAATTATATGTGTTGAAAACAAATTGATTTGTAGAACTACTATTTTTTCACAGCTTTGAGACTTTAAACACAACCCTAAATCTCACTGCTATATTATTTCAATAGCAATAAGACTTCACTGCATTCTTGCTAGTTTATAATTAATTGCTATTCATCTTGGTAAGTTTACATGAAAAGAAGAGTGTCTGAAATTTTAAAAAATCATAAATTTATCATTTCCTGTATTTTATAACTGCTTTATTATTTGCTGCTAGTGTATTTATTGTGAATAATTTAATGTCATATTGTTTTGTTTAGGTACGATGATAGAATAATACAGCACCAGGCTAAAGTTACCTCCCCTATCTCTCACTCTCCTGAACCCCTTACCTCCCCTTCCTAATCCCAGAGCAGCCACACACAGCACATTTATCACAGCAGGCAAGTATATCCAAATATCCTAAGGCAAGCCAAACAGCATATTAGGCAAGTATCTATAAATATCCTGATAAAGCCGAGCAGCATATCTATCCCAGAGCAGACACACAGAGCAGGCAGATATCTCTAAATACATTAAGTAGAGAAGTATCTTTAATATCTTTTGCAAGAAAGAATCTCTAAATATTTCTACCAGGAAAGTATCTTTTAAAATCTCCAGCCGATAAGTATCTCTAAATATCTTAAACAGGCTAATATCTCCAAATAGAGGACAGAATTGATCATTATAACAGTAACTTGATCTGAAGAGCGGTATTACAGATTATCAGATCTAACTCCAAACTTGACGTCTCGATTGATCTGTTGATAGGCCTCTGTCAACAAAATAATATTTCCATTCCCTACAAGGTAATAGAGTAAATTTGTAAATTTTTTAACAGAATAGAAGTCATGTTGGAGCAAAATCCTAATTTTCTAGAGGAGTTTGACAATGAAAAGGAAGAAAAGAAGAAAGAGAGGGAGAGAAAGAAAGAAGAAAAAAGGAAAAAGAAAGAGGAGGAAAAACAGAGGAAGCAGGACGCAAAGGCTGCATCAAAAGGGAGGGGGCTTAAAGGATTCTTTAGGAGAAAATAAACCTTGTACAATGGGACCCCACTAAACTTGACTACCCTTAAATTCTCCCCCTTGAGTAAATTGTGTGGATTAGTTAGGGATCTCCAAACATGGATAAATTAAGTCTCCAAAGCTGAAACATAAATTTTATTAATTATTAAAGATTCAATTCTATACCCTGTAAATTTTGCACGGGAGATGAAACACTTGACTTCTGAGAATAAAATGTGCTTAAGGCCATTTCTGTTGAGTTTTACTTAATTACAGAAAAATTCTTAACCTTGATCCCTATTAAACTTTTGTTTTGATTGTCATTTTGTACACGTTATTTGCTCGTTCAGAGATTAATACTGTTGAAGGAAGAAAAAAAATGTAAGCTGGCTGTGTGAGTAAGCCCTCTATGTATGTAATATTGTCAAGAGGATTTTGTTTCAGTTGTACATGACCATCTTGTTCATACATATGATTGGTGTTCTTTAAATCAATCTGCTTCTTTCTATATAAAACACTCTCCATTTTTACTGTCTGTGCTTTATTTAAGCAGATATTTGTTTAGTTGTTCATTGTCATTTGAACATTCAGTTTTGTACTAGATGTGATTTTCTTATTCTGTGTAATTTGTGATTTATTTTATTTTTTATTTACATGTATGTATCTAAAAAATGTAATTCTGAAATTAAAACTAGTGCAATCAATATTTGCCAGATTTTATAATCATGTTTTAATTGCAGATATATGTTGCCATGAACCGCCGCTGCTGTTCGTGGGATATTACAAATATATTTACACTTGATTTAATTTCTTTCTTAGATATTTGCATGTTTGTACAACAGTGATCCATGAATATATGAAAAGGAAATATATGTGTGTGAATTTTCTGCTTCTTTCTTGAAGAGCAACCAATGTTTTCTTTTAGCCAATAACATAACCTACTGACAATCTAAATGCAGATGCCATATAGTTAATAAAACAGAAGAATTGTTTTTCACAATCATTGTAATTTTTTGCCTCATGTATACCAGTACATGTATATGTGCATTGTAACCTCAATATTAGTATTTCTAACTAATTATATGTATTTATGAGGTAATGCCAATGTTTTTGATAAAATGTTGTAAATTCCTTATTCCTATTAAGTGCTGCGTATCATTTGTCCTGCTGAAAAATGTTATACGATTTCAAGAAGAGATAACTTGTTACAGTTTTCTTGTTTTGTAATTATTAAGATATTTTAATAAATCACAATAGAAATTTTACATGTCAGTGTTTTTAAATTTCAAAGAAGGTGATTGTTTTTACTTTTTAAAAAATTGGGATACACCATCTTCTCTGATTATTCATATGAAATTTTGTCTTTGAAGTAATGATCTCTCTAAAGACATCTAATAAATATTAAATTATAATGTGAATTACTATATAGTAATAGCAAGATAAATTGTGGGGAAAATTTACACAGAAAAGGCCTTAAAACTCCTTTTTTTTTTTTTACCAAAGAGTGATACTCATACTAATATTTTAGCTTTGTTTTCTCTCATTCCAGGACTATTGAATGTGAAATTCAGGTAATTTGCCCCTCAGTTTGTTTTTAACACACCTGAGCTGACTGGTTGACAGGGGATGCTTACTCCTCCAAGGCACCTGAACACTTGATATTTTCAGGGGTTGATTGTGTTGAGAATACACTGTAAATATTTGTTATTCATTCAATTCCATTAAATCTGAGGCTAAGTTGAAACTAATACTTTCACGTTAACATTTCGAAAAATTTGTGTATCGTCGATTTTCCTTATTTATGTAAATCATATATGGTACCAATTTTGATGCACCAGATGCGCATTTTGACAAATTTATGTCTGTTCAGTGATGATCATGCCCAAACGTAGGATGGAAATCCGAGAAAAATATTAAGAACCCTGTCTACACTGCACACTAAAGAGCTCTGATTCTGTGGTATCTTTCTGCAGTTAGAGTGATCTGCCCTTAGATATATGAATTCTGAAAACCAGAAATTTACAGTATATTGCTAAGTTTGTAATAGATCTAAGTATTATCCGTGTTTCAGAATGCCAACATAAATAAATTGGAACCCATTATCTACATATTACATGTACATCTACATGTTCTGAATGGAAGTAAACAAGACTGGTGAAGAGTGATTTCTGTTCACTGATATACTGCATTGTGTTTGAACATCTTTCCTGGGGGTAAATGCCACGTATCATGTACTGAAAATTAAACAGATACGAGGGGTTATCAAAAAGTTCATGGACTAAGGCTATAAAATAAGTACTACATGTATGTAGTTTTTGCTTTCAAAATTTAATAAGAACATAAAGCAACAAACAATTTTTGATAATACGCATTTCATACTCAAGAACGGAGACGTATAATTTTCAAAGAATTAATGCGTATCTATACCCCCTGACCCGTACCACCTCCTAACTGCAAACCTTCTACCTAGGAGCCATGAATATTACAGTTTTACTCATCATAACTATTTATTTATTTTATGTTCTCACCACTCAATTAAGACACAACCACTTGCTTCAAAAATAAATCTTTAACCAATAGAATATTAATAATAGAGTTATTATTATACTACACATGTATGAGTTAAAAATTTATTTCCGAAACAAGTGGCTGTGATTCAAGAGCATGCAGAGAAGAAAATGTTCAAAATAATGCTTTTTTCACTGTATAAAAAAATACAGAACTCTTCTCCCAGAGGTCATTCACAATATTGGAGGAGACATCTTGCACATCATATTTACGCACCGTATATATTTTATAAAATTATTGTTGTTTTGGTATTGTTTATACCCGTTTAGCTATTGAGGGTGGATTGCTCAACTTGTATTCAGCATATGTAATTTTTTGCCTTTAAAAGAAAACAAGTTATAAGACTTTACAATTTTATTTTAAAGAAACCGCAACTCAAATTACAATAAAATAATTAACTTTACAAAACCTTTTGAAGAAATATAAATAACATTTTTTGTCAACACATTACAGTCTAGTTGCGTTAACTTTTAAAATAGTACATAATTATAATTAATATAAAGATGATTGGATATACATGTACGTGCCTTAAAAGAAAACAAGTTGTAATTCAAAACACGGCCATTATATCTCCCAGAATCGGGGTTCATTACAATTTAACAACTTGTTAACTTTTTCAGTACCCATATGACGTGAACGCATGTGGTCATCGTGTGATCAGTGTTTTCGTAATTCTAATTAAGAATTAACCTCTGTCAAATTTGGAATTTTGTATTTCATTAATTCAATTTAAGACCTGTTCAAAGTCAATAATTAAGTTTGACAAAAATCAACATTGTTTTCTCCTGAGAACACTGACCACCTACATGAAATATTTGATCTATTTATAGTGATTGACTTTACTACTCAACCGCCTGGTCCAAATAAACAATTTGTAAAGAAGGGATACGAAATATTTTTACAATTTGTCAGTTATAAAATCAAGTGATTTCAAATATGATCATGCATTGGGTATTAAAATTACACACTTAAAACTAATAGATATTATTAAATTACAACGAAAATGTGAATAATATAAAAATTCTAAATTAATTACTTCCTCACCCATAAAAAAATTGGTGCTCCAAATTTATAATAAAAAAAATATTAGTGCCCAATATACATCGTTACATGACTTTCCTTGACAATATCATAAATACAATTGAAAATAATCGTTAAAGCTAGAACATCTCACTATGTACCTTTACTTTTAATACACAACAACTGTTCGTAATATTCACTGTTCGTAAGTTAAATCGAAGTCACCGATTCCTCAACGCCTCTAACAATTCACAATATTTTCACTTTAATTTGCACAGTTCACAAGTGGTTTTACGTTTATCTTTTAAGGTACTTATAGCGTCATGGAGATGTTTACGTAGTCCTTTTGGTACACTCCTTTTACTTTGATTATAGTTTTTGTACCATATGATGTAGCACCTCGAGCGTGTCGTCATTCGTTATCATCAAATAGGTACATGCACATAAAAAAAATATAATAATACGCAATACTGTAAGTATATATGTTTATATAATATTCTTGGGTATAATACATGAAAAATAGTACAGTTAGTAAATCTTATAATATTCCAGACTACAAATCGTTCATTTAAGCATTGAATTCTTCTTTTGAGAGTCTTCGGTCCTATAACACACCTGGCCGTGCCGACAAATTTAATACCGCGCGTTAGCGCGGGATGATAAATTTGTCGGCACGGCCAGGTGTGTTATAGGACCAGAGACATCCCAAAATATGAATTCAATGCTTATATTTACATTTTCTAATTTTCCTTCTTCATAATTGCTTATTTCGTTAATCTTTAATGTGAATTTAGCGCCCTTCAAAACTGCCGTGGTTAATAGATGTAAGAGCCGTTTGTGACGTCAAATGACGTTAAATGACATTGCAAAGTAAAATTACGCAAACAAGCATTGCGAGGAAAAAAATGACAAATTCCTAACGCACATTACGTTAATTTTTACGTTAATTTTTTAGGGTTATTGTTTTTAATTGGATTGAAATAAAACAATCTACGTTTGGGTGTTCCTAGAGTATTTAAAATGCATATAGTTCCTACTGTGTATTCACAAGGTGACAAGGTTTCGCGTGTGTTATAGAAATTTGAACGTCGTGGATTTCTAATGGATTTCATGAGGAAATACACTAAATGTAAATATAGTGCTATAAATCTGAAATAAACCTTGTAAAGATTCTGCAGTTACCTCTTCGGCACAATATTCAGTACTCAAAAGGAAAAAAAAATATGATGAATGCGACATCTATAAAAAAAAAACAAACATGAAAATGCATATGCAACTTGTATTTTTCAACACATTACAGTCTAGTTGCGTTAGTTTTAAGAAAGTATGCATATGCTACGAAACCAGGGGGGGGGGGGGGGGGGGGGCTAGGGGCTTAAATATGATTAATACAGAGATGGTTAGATTTACACGTACGTGCCTTAAAGAAAACAAGTTGCAAGATTTTACTGTTTTATTTTAGAGAAACCGCAACTGAGGTTATCAGGGCGCCTACGACCATTATATACCTCAGAACAGGTTTCCACGACAATCTCACAACTTGTTAGTTTTTCAGTACCCATATGACATGACCGCATGTAGTTATCGTGATATCAGTGCTTGCATTACAGAAAAAGCACGTTAGACCGCTCGGCTATGTGGGCAAGTCAAAAACTTGCTTTCGATGCCGATGGAATTCTCACAGCGCTGCCCTACACTACACATGTTAGGAGACAGAATCTGTAGGTCGAGAGTTCAACCGCGGACTAGGGCGGAAGTGGGTATCCTTATGAAATGTGCTTTCTATATTAATATTTCTTCACTTCGGGCAGTTATATTAATCTATTTTAAGAGTTCTGAAAATTGTACTTTATATATAATCATTTTTTTTTTCATTAACACAGGTACAAGTATTTGTAACGATCCTCTAATAAAGCTAATGTCCAAATAACTGTATATCACTTCTATTCTCAATGACCGTGTGCTGTAGGGCAGCCCTGTAAGAATTCCATCGGCATCGAAAGCAAGGTTTTGACTGCTCGGGATGAATACCGCGAGTCTAAACTCTGGAAGGGGGTGGAGATTGGAGGAAAACAGATGAAGATTGACCTCAAGGTCATTGAGCCATATAAAAAGGTCCTCTCTCATGGAGGTAAGGTTCAAGTGCAAAGTAAATACTGTATTTTTATAATAGGTCAAGGTCTTAATTACTATCTTTTCACAAGGACATAAAATAGAAGACTTTCGCATTGCCAAAGATTATCCCTTTTGCCAGCAGATCTTGCATTCTTAGTAAGTTACCTGTATATATATTCATTAAACCTTATACAGTTTTTCAATTTTGTACCATAGTTCCTTTACTGGCATAGTATGGGGCAATGTGGAAAACATAATGAATATGTAAAGATATATTTCATTTGTCATACATGTATATACATGTACTGTCGTATAAAGGTGCTACATGTACTGTTAATTATTGTTGGATGTATCTAGCAACAGGTGACCTCAAATAATACATAAAAGGGAAATAACTCTTATTAATTTATCAATAAACATGTTAGAGGTCAATACCATTCTACTTTTATGCCATGATAAGTCATGATACAATCAACTGCTGTGGGTTTGCTTTCTATTAGAAATTGTTTTGGAAACATATTTCAGTATTTAACCATTTCTAATGCTAATCCATACAAATGTGTATTAACTTTTTAAGGTTACTATGGAGAGGGACTAAATGCCATTATTATTTTCTCGGGATGTTACTTACCTGACCACAGTAGGAAAGATTATCAGTATGTGATGGATAATTTATTTATGTAAGTATACTGATTACAGTTATAAAAAGATTATACATATACAATTAGAAGGGATTATCAGTATAGATAATTTATTTATGTAAGTATTCATAAACAGTAAAACTTGTCTAATCCATATGATAAAGTCACTTTTATTAAATTCAGTTGTTAAAAATGTATCATCAAAGAGTTATCTTTCTATACACATGGAAAGTTTTAAAAATTCTTAAGACTTGTAAGTATTTTGTTGAGTAATTGCACATTATTTGATTATGTAGTTAAAAAGGTTATTGATCATTTTTTAGAGTGAAAGTTTTCTTGTGAAATTCATTGATCTTTATAAAAAAAAAAATTCCAGGTATGTAATAAGTACCTTGGAGACCCTGGTTGCCGAGGACTACATGATTGTTTATTTCCATGGAGCCACACCACGGCGACAGATGCCAAGCTTTGGTTGGCTGAAAAAATGTTACCAGATGATTGACAGAAGGTCAGAGGTCATTCAGTATTCAAACTAGAAAGTGACATGTTTTAAAAAGACTTTGTAATGATCATGATGATCATAATTTTTTCACTCAGTTTAAAAGTATTTCAACCACAAGTGTAAAGAAAAAAAAGAATATTTCTCCATATATCATCTGAACTGTAAATTATAAACTTTCACATAAAATTCACAAAAAGAAAAGTGGCATGCCTTAGGCATTACTATGTTTGTTAAAGTGATATAAAATATGTAATTTTCCTTTAAGATTGAGGAAGAATCTGAAGTCCTTAATGCTGATTCATCCCACGCTGTGGTTAAGAACTATCGTCATGATGACCAGACCATTTATCAGGTATACTCTCATTGGCAAATCTATTGAAGCCCAATAGGGCCATGTAATTCACTATGACACTATCAAGCAAAACAACTTGGATCTTTGACACTATAGCAGTGGTGCAGTAATATTTCCATTTCTAAATTTTTTCTCTATCATAACCCTTTGAAAGTAAGCGGAGTTGTTTTGCTGATAATTATGCCGGAATGTAAATTAGGCAGGTAGTTAGGTCAGCAGCTAAGGAGTCCTAATATGCATGCAAATCTCGTGCGCATCTGTCTCTGTGTCTGACGCCGAGGAGGCGAAATATGCATGTAAATCTGCTTCGCCCGTTATGCAAATTATCCCATGTTTCCCACTATTGTTGATGCCCTGGCATACTCTCAAAACTAGACAGTGATTCCTTAAATCATGATGCATTGCAAGGATAGGGCTATAACAGATGGCATGACAATGTGATGATGATGGTGGGATAGTATGATGGAGAGAAAGTGAACATCACCTCATCATCAGGGCACAACTGTGTCATTGTTATTACTTAACGAGACCAAGTCTAATTATTTCTGCCCTAGGGATTTTGATTATTTTCTGAAAAATAATTTTTACTTTTATATTTATTGATTTAAGATTAAAAAATCACACAATGTTGCACAAATGACTGCATGAAATTGAAAAGCTGTGCAAAGTCATGCACACTCGAATTTGACTCGGCCGCGTTAAAATCACTTTTCATTTGTGAGAATTTTATTTTTGTATAATTACCTGAGAAAATGTGCTCACAAAGATTTCATCCTTGTAGCAGTTAATAACCACAGTTTGTGAAAATTTTGTTTTTATAATAAAAAGTTAATGAATATCATGCAAAAATAAGGTGTCACAAAAATTGAGTGATTCATGTTCATCACACTATTGACCCACACCTTGCTGGAGAGTGATGAATATTGAACTACATGGCCCTGTCCAGATTGAAATTGTCAAGAAAATATTGCACATTTATGACCATATATAATCAAAATTATTAGGATAACATTGTACAGTAAAAATTACAATATCTGGTTTGTTTTCTTCCAGTGCCAAATTTTCCTCCAAGCTGCGGTTTGTGCGGTCGCTGTCAGAACTAGGTCAGATCATTCCTATGGAGTATATTTCTGTCCCAGAACAAGTTCAACAGTAAGTATGGGATCCAAAGGAGGGATCAAACATAAATTAATGAATGGGGAGTGGATCAAATGTAGGTGCTGAACTTGAGAATGTATAGAAAATCAGTAAAATCAGTGTTGGAAAAAATTATGTGTTGAAAACAAATTGATTTGTAGAACTACTATTTTTTCACAGCTTTGAGACTTTAAACACAACCCAAAATCTCACTGCTATATTATTTCAATAGCAATAAGACTTCACTGCTTTCTTGCTAGTTTATAATTAATTGCTATTCATCTTGGTAAGTTTACATGAAAAGAAGAGTGTCTGAAATTTTAAAAAATCATAAATTTATCATTTCCTGTATTTTATAACTGCTTTATTATTTGTTGCTTGAGTATTTGTTTTGTATAATTGATGTAATATTGTTTTGTTTAGGTACGATGATAGAATAATACAGCACCAGGCTAAAGTTACCTCCCCTATCCCTCACTCTCCCGAACCCCTTACCTCCCCTTCCTAATCCCAGAGCAGGCACACACAGCACATTTATCACAGCAGGCAAGTATTTCCAAATATCCTAGAGCAAACAGCATATAAGACAAGTATCTATAAATATCCTAGATAAAGTCGAGCAGCATATTTATCCCAGAGCAGGCACACACAGCAGGCAGATATCTCTAAATACCTTCAGTAGAGAAGTATCTCTAATATTTCCTGCAAGCAAGGATCTCTAAATATTTCTACCAAGAAAGTTTCTCTTAAAATCTCCAGCAGACAAGTATCTCTAAATATCTCAAACAGGCTAGTATCTCCAAATAGAGGACAGAATTTATCATTATAACAGTAACTTGATCTGAAAAGCCATATCACATCTTGTAGACTGGCCCAGATTATCAGATCTAACTCCATGCTTGACGTCTCGTTTGATCTGATATTGTGCGCCTGTCAACATAATTATATTTCCTTTCACTACAAGTTAATAGAGTAAATTTATAAATTTTATAACAGAATAGAAGTCATGTTAGAGCAAAATCCTAATTTTCTGGAGGAGTTTGACAATGAAAAGGAAGAAAAGAAGAAGGAAAAGGAGAGAAAGAAAGAAGAAAAAAGGAAAAAGAAAGAGGAGGAAAAGCAAAGGAAGTAGGAAGCGAAGGCTGCATCAAAAGGGAGGGGGCTTAAAGGATTCTTTATGAGAAAATAAACTTTATACAATGGGACCCCACTAATCTGGACTAAGCTTTTTCTCCCCTTTGAGAAAATTGTCAGAATCAGTTAGTGGTCCCCAATCATATGAATCAAGTAAGTCTGCGAAGCTGAATCATAAATTTTATAATTAAGATAATTAAAAATTCAATTCTAAACCCTTAAAATTTTGCACAGGAAGTAAAACACTTGACTTCTGAGATTCGATTATAAGTATGTCATAAATGTGCTTAAGGCCATTTCTGTTGATATTTTACTTAATTACAGAGGAATTCTTAACCTTTGATTGTCATTTTTTACGTTATTTGCTCGTTCAAAGACTAATACTGTTGAAGGAAGAAAAAAAAAGCTGAAAGTGTGAGTAAGCCCCTCTATGTAATATTGTAAAGAAAATTTTGCTTCACTTGTATACATGGCTATCTTGTTTATACATATGTTTGGCTTACTTTAAATTAATTCTGTTTCTTTTCACATATTTTCGTAGGGTCAAATTTTCGAGGTTTTAGGAAAACATCTTAGTTTATGGAGACTTGATTTCGTGGATGGAGAATGTTTTAGTAGTGTACATATTAAATTTTACATTTCGTGGCAATCATAATTGCTTGGTCTCTCCTTGCCTCAAAAACAATGAAAATTAAACATGTTAAACATCCACAAAAATAAGTGATATCCCAGTATAACATCCTCATTTTTTCTATTTGTACATTGTTTAAGCAGACATTTGTTTTAATTTACATGACTGTATATCTACATATTTTGTTTCTTTGAACATTTTATTGTGTACTAGATAGGAGTTTCTAATCCTATTTAATTTATTGATTTATTTTATCGGATTACGAAATGAACATGTGCAATCAATATTTGCGATAGTCATTTTAAATTGCCAATATACGTATGTTGTCATGAACCACTACTGTTCATGTGACGTTATAAATATATTAAAGTTGGATTTAAATAATTTCTGGATATTTGCATATTTGTGTAACAGTGAAACATGAATAAAAGAAAAAGAAAATATATGTGTGCAGCATACTCTCCGTAGAGGCCTCATCTATAGAGGTTTGTGAGCAAATGAACTCCGGCCGAAGTTTGTGTGCAGTACTTACGTCTTAAATGAAGAGCAACCTTTTTATGCCTTAATTGTTTGTAAACCAACGTTTATTCGCGTACGAGAAATTTTCACGAAATTCGCGAGAGCCTCATCATAGCGAAATTTTTCTTACCGCAAACTGGTCCTTAAAGTGTATTTGTCTATTAAATACAGATCCAAAAAGGCTTTATCGCGAAATATTATCGAAAAGTTTATCCCTAGTAAATCGCGAAATAAAGTCGTCGCAAATAAAAGTATATACTTACCTACCGACAATCTAAATGCAGATGTCCTAGAAACAAATATTGCTTTTCATAATCATGGTAATTTTTGCATCACATTACCAGTATCTGTGCATTGTATTGTCATTATTAGTATTTCTACATATTGTAACTATTATATGTATTTATGAGGTGATGCCAATGTTTTTGATAAAATGTTGTAAATTCCTTATTCCTATAAAGTGCTGCGTATCATTTGCCCTGCTGAAAAATGTTATACGATTTCAAGAAGAGATAACTTGTTACAGTTTTCTTGTTTTGTAATTATTAAGATATTTTAATAAATCACAATAAAAGTTTTTCACATGTTTGTGTTACAGAACTTCTAAAAAGAACTGAGGTAATTATGGTAACGGTTTTTTTTTTTAATGGAAATACACCATCGTGCATTGAATTCAAAATTTTGTCTTTAAAGTACCGATTTCTTTGACGAAATTTGATAGATATTAAATTATGATGTGAATACTAGTAATATAAGGATATTTTGTGGGAAAAATTTACGCAGAAACGGCCTTGAAACTTGAATTTCTATATTAGGTTTTTCGCACACCTGAGCTGACTGTTTGACAGTGAATTCCTACTCCTCCTTGGCACCTGAACACTCTGTTGAGATTTCAAGCGGCCAATTGTGTTATGTCCTCCTTACAGTTTGTTTTATAAAGCACATTTTAGGCGTGGTTTAAATAACATTTAAAATCATCAAATTTGTTAAAGTCACTAATATTCATACTTTTTACTTTTCTACACTTTATACAACCATTCTTTATCATAAATCAAAAACCGGACCTTTTGTAATCATAAGCAAGTTCTTCTTGATCAAAATATAAGTTAGAAATTGTCCTGTCTTGTAATTGGTGACGGTCATCAATAAAATTACTTTTTAAAAATAAAACTAACTGTATTCACAAGTACCCTGAATTTGATATTTAATGGATGCTGTATACGAATGATTGATTGATTGATTGTGTCCTGTTTAACGTCCCTCTCCAGAATAATTCACTAATATGGAGACGTCACCATTGCCGGTGAAAGGCTGCAAATTTAGGCCTATGCTCGGCACTTACGGCCTTTGAGCAGGGAGGGATCTTTATCGTGCCACACCTGCTGTGACACGGGGCCTCGGTTTATACGGTCTCATCCGAAGGACCGTCCCATTTTGTCGCCTTTTACGACAAGCAAGGGGGTACTGAGGACCTATTCTAACCCGGATCCCCACGGGGCGATGCTGTATACGAAGTGTGTGTATCTCAGTTGATTCGATACGCAAGAGCATGCTCTATGTATGAACAATTTCTAAAACGAGGTACATTATTGACAAAAGTTGTTGAAACAAGAATATCAGCAGTCTCTTTTAAAATCATCATTTCATAAGTTCTATGGTTGATACAATGACCTTGTCAGACAATACAATTTATCATTGAGCCAAATGCATTCTGACTGACGTTTTTCATACTTATTGTTAGTCCATTATAAACTAAATTGACGACGGATTTTCCCGTTATTTTCTGATAATGGCAAGGAGCATACGGCGGGTGTGACGGTCAGCAAGGGATGCTCACTTCTCCATAGCACCTGATCCCACCTCTTATGTTTCGTAGGTCCGTGTTTGCTCTGCACTAAAAAAAACTAGATGCTGTCATGAGACAGCAATACCCGCACTAAGGTGTTTGCCTCTAAATACACGCTCCTACATATTGGGCGACTTTCCAAGGAAATAGTCAAAATAATTCTATAATTTACATGTATTAATCAAATTGATTATGAAATTCTCAGACCCTGTGACCTATAACTCAGAACGTCTTATATTTATTTTACACATGCTTAATTCATTATATACCAGTCTGAATTTTATTAATGATGTAAATCCCCCCCCCCCCCCCCCTGGAATTTACAAGGTTAAAACATGTATACACTAAAACAAGGAAAAAGTTACAATGGACCCCCCTTGGAAAATGCAGATCCCCCCCCCCCTGGTAAACACGAATATGTGTAAAATAGGTATGAAAAGTTAAACATTTGCGGCAATAGAAGTCACCACTACCCCCACCCCACCTCCACGATATAGGTTTTTGACATTTGGGTGAGATTTACTTTAGGTTTTTTTTTATTGTCAATTTTTGGGATAGGATTTTTTTTGACTGAGGTGGACCCCCCCCCCCCCCCTGGAAAAAAATTCTGGATCCGCGTCTGAAATTAGATTTTGATGTATGTTTTGCTCATAATAGGACCTTTTTAAATTTACTACCCCCCCCCCCTCCCCATCGACACCACAATCACACAGCACATACTTTTTGGAATAGGCTAGATGGAAAAGGTTTGTTAAAATTTAATATCGTTTGTAATGAATTAATCTAAAATTTGTTCTTGTACTATACATGTGAACATGTAAATTTCTACATTACATCACGTTGCGTTACCATTTGGCACACCTCGACCGATTCCCACTTCATCTGATAAGGTGACAGAATCGACGAAAGTTCGCCAAAATGACACATGGTTGCAGTCTGGTGTGCATTGGATTAATTCATTTTGTGTTATAATTGGATTTATATTTCATGAAGTTTACAAGACACAGGGGGTCGGTAAGTAGAAGTCAACGATTAGGTTAAAGTTTAAAAAGGGTCAAAGATCATCCCATGCCACACTAGACGAATTTCATATTGTGAAGTTATCTCCCGTTGTCGATGTGACATTCAGTTACTGCCAATACTGGTGCGGATCCAGAATTTTTTTTCGGAAGTAGGGAGGGGGGTTCACATCTCAGTCAAAAAATTCCAGCCCAGAATTTCGTGACAAGCAGGAGAAAAAAAATGAAAACAAATAAACAAATAAAAAAACAATGATAGTGAGGTCAATGTTTTCTAAGTTTATAGGGAGAGGATGTCAAGAGTCATTTTTTACTTGCTACAGTATATAGTCTTGTTTAAATAACAAAGCAAATGCCAGATGGGGGAGGGGGGATTCCAATCTTCCTACCCTCCTCCTGTCCCTGAAATAACAATCTATTTTGTGATTCCAGTTTAATAGTATATTTTTTTTTCCATTTGACGAATTATTATACATATTTTGTTTCTTGTGTTTATAGTATGTCTGTCTATAAGTCTGCAAAAATTAAATCCTAGCTAGCTTGCCCATAAGTTTTAAGTGGGATGGGCTATACATATAGCTTCCACATTTTATAAGTTTATTTCTTGTGACAATTTAATAAGACCTTTTATTTGGGTACCATTAATTTTTACCTCTTATCGCTTGACATGGGATACACATTTTTACAAGAAAAATACCAAACTTTAAACTCTGCCTAATTTTTGATCAGTAGGTGCAAGGGCTTTCATACTTATCATGACATATTGTATTCATTTTGAACTGTCAACAGGTATAAATATGTTTGACCTTGACCCTAGAGTTTGAGCCACTTAAAAAAAAAATTAACCTTGGCAATTAACTTTTGAACAGGAATTACTAGAGATTTCTTTATTTAACATGTGCATTCCTTGTGACAAGACTTTCTTCTGATACTAACAATTTGAACCCTTGACCTTTGAGTTTGACATATATTTGAGAAACTTCAACCTTCGCCATAGGCTTCCATACTGGGACATCAGTGTT